TATATATAATGATCAGTCAAGATTTTTATTATGACCATGAATAATATTTTTTTTACAATCTTTAGAGTTTATGCCATTTTGAGTAATATCAGTGCCGTCTTTATCATCATCGTGACCATTCTCTCCCTTTCTATATATATATATATATATATATATATATATATATATTCCACTCGATAGCGTTCCGCAGGAATCTTCGTCTCCATTGACCATTTATTATTACTGTTTATTATTCATATCAATATTTATTAATCCGTCGTTTTCGGCGCTTGATCTCCCTGTTTCTTGCTGTCTCCTTGCCTTTACCTCTCAGTCTTTTATTTCGTTAATTACCGTCATTATTTTCATCATCAATCATTTTATACAATAATGTACACAAACAATCAATATTACGAGTAGAACAAGAATAGCAGAATAAGGAAAGATGTGACGAAACGATTTCGCTAGAACAAAAACAAAACCAAGAACAAACGGCACCATCATCATCACCTTCTTTTATATATATATATATATATATATATATATATATATATACCATTATAATTAGTTTTACCATAATTAATCGTCATAACTAATTATCATCATCATCATTATTATTATTATTATTATTATTGTGAATGAATCACCGTATCATAATCGCTTTATGAACAACTGGACGCCAGCCGTTCCCTAGTGTATATATATATATATATATAATGTGTACTTATATACCGTCATCCTTCTATCACCTGCGCAATCACCGTCTCAACGGGAGGAGAGAGGTGGCAGATTCGGTCTGATTCTGCAAAAAACAGAAAACCGCCGGCCATAGTTACTGCTGGCAATGGCCATAGTGAATATTAAGGGGTGCGTTCCCTTCGTCTACCTGTCCCATTTACCAGCCCAAGAAGATCTGTTTTTTTCGCCTCTAGTGAATGGCGATCTCTATTGAATGGTGCTCGAGGGGGACGGGGTTCTCACGTTCTCAAGCTAAATTTATCATTACTAATAGTATTATCATATCATACCACAATGTGTTGTAGGTGTGTACGGGCACTCGCATTCGAGTTAATTAAATTAACAAGCTAGCGCCAAAGCAAAGCGTACAACATTGTATCATTCCCCGCTAGTATTTCTAGAGATATTATACATTGTTGTTATATATATATATATATATATATATATATATATATATATATATATATATACGGCGACCAGGTGATACCCGTTACTCTTGAGATGGTCGTCCATTGAATTCGACTGATGACAAAAAACCAGAGCCGACGGTTCATGGATGACTCTGGAACGACGTTGACCAGTGCGTCATTATTACGACCGTATTAGCGACGTTCGCAGCCGTTGTCTCTGCGTGGACTTCGTTTGTTTGTTTATTTGTTTGTTCACATACGATTTATTTCATCATTTTCAGTAGCAGACTCAGCAGCATCAGCGTTGTCATTGACATCAGGTTATGCTCACAACATTCACAGTCGTCACAATATTCACTTCAGACGGCGACATCGTTAACATCGAATGCTTCGGCATAAACTTAACACCATGGCGCTCGTCTTCGCGCAAAGAGCATAGTAACCTGAATCTTCTTTATTATAATAAGCATCATTTCTTAGTTGGCAATCAACCTTGTTACCATTAGTAATAGTAAAAATAACTGTAGATCTCTTAACGTCTATGAGCGGCGAATAGCGTCTACTACTAATATTCTTCTCTCACGTCAATATCGATCATGGCTGGCGTCATAGACATCAGTCTTGTTCAATTAGCTTATCCATCCATCTACCAAGTGATTCCGCCTCTTCCGCACAGCCTCTTCTCGGCATGTGTAATTCTTGTTTACAGCCACACTTCATCATTGGTAGCATCACAGTGGCAATTACTTAATTTATAAAATTCCTTTGCCCTTTGACCGCCAATAATGCCCCAGTGAGTTAGCGAATGAACGTTGTTAACTTCGTGACCACTAAGTATTATTGTTATTACCATAATTAGTTGACATTAGTCCGAATCGGTACTTCCGCATGTAGAATCAAGTCATACCCAACTAGCATTCCGTTCGCTCACTCGTCCACTCGTTCGACTTCGGTAAACAAGAATAATGAACGTTCGTTTGCCGCTTCATCCATTACTCTGCAGCTGAGATCAATTGACCTCACTCACTCGCTAAGGTTTAATAACAATCCGTGAAATATTCCGACGTGTCTACCTCCCAGTAGTTGTAGAAGAAGCATAGGAGTGAAGAAAGAGCATCTTTACATGCTTGCCGCTTTTTGCCTGACTAATCTTCGTCGGACAAAGGTTCGTATTGGTTCATGAGCAAATTGGAATTTGCCGCCGCCGCCGCCGCCGCCGCCGCCGCTGCTGCTGCTGCTGCTGCTGCTGTTGGGGGACCATCGCGCGAGCCGCCGCCGCCGCCGCTGCCGCCGCCGCCGCCACCGCCACCGCCGCCGCCGCCGCCGCCGCCGCCGCCTCCTCCCCCTCCTCCTCCACCTCCTCCTCCCCCGCCTCCTGCTGCTGTTGTTGCTGGACCTTGTGGGGCACCTCCAGGGACGCTAGGTACACCCACGGTAGCGAGTCGCACACCGAGCGCACTATAAGGGTACGCATAGCCACCACCTGCCTCGTCAACAACCATCTCCGCCGGGCTGGAGCGGGGTTCTGGTCCTCCGGGACCGACACCGGCCTGCTGCTGTGGTGTTGTAGGCGGTGTCGCACGGGGACCCAAGGCAGGAATCTGAGCGATCGGTGGTGGCTGACTTGAGCTTGGCCGGCTTGGAGGTGTTGGGGTCGGCCGCGGACTTCGTTCTTGTGGTTCACGCATTGCCTCCTCGATACGTGTCTTCATGTAGTCGAGCGGCGAAATTGCCGGTGTTCGTACTCGCGATGGCGGAGGGCCAGCATCTACGCCAACACCTGGCGTCTCAACACCGCCGCCTCCACCGGCACCGACCGAGCCTGCGCCAGGCGCCTGTGGAGTAAGTGCCTTGCGCAGTTTCCAAGATTCTGGCGACGGATCAACTGGGGCCGAGTGCGAGATGTTCTTTTGGATCATAGCGGCAATATGCTGCGACAACGAGACACTTTGATCTTTACAATCTAATGTGGCCGGTGGGGTTGCTAACTCAATGCGGGGCACTTTCTCAGGGGGCGGGCCTGTGCCTGGTGGCGGGCCTGAATTAAATGATGAAATCAGTGTTTTCGGATCACCCTGATTGATCTGATGTGTGATAATTGCATCAATAAGATTGGCCGCTGTTAATCCACCCGAATTCTTCGGGGCGTTGTCCTTTGCAAAAGATGCACTAAAGATCCTCTGCGCCGTCTCGCCGCTGTCAGCTTCGGCTCGGTGCGACTGTCGCATCTCTTTCTCGAATTGCTCCTTACTGAAGGGTTCGACGCGGCCAGGTGGAGGTCGGCCTGCTGTTGCTAATAAACGCATCTGTTGAGCGGGATGAGCCTGTATAGGATGCGAACCTGGATGGGGATGGCTTTGGCCCTGATGTGGCCCATGTACCGGATGCCCTCCATGATGGCTATTTGGACCTACCGCCTGACTCGCTCTACCACCTAAATGGCCATGCATCTCTAGCAGGGACTTCTCAAGGCCTTCGGCTGATCGCTTCGTGGGTGTCGTTCTGTCGGAATGGCTCTCCTTTCCGCTAGCACCGCCGCCAGGTGGAGGAATGACAAGCGAAGGTTGGGCCGCAGCGGCGTTTACCAGTGTTTGAAACGGGTCATGCGTGGAAGGCGAGCGCGATTTCGTCGCGGGAGCCTGGATGACACTTTTCGTTGCCGATGTTTGCCAGCGAATAACGTTCTGTCGATCCATCGGCGGGGGCATGAACGCATGACCAGTGGTTGGGGGCCCTCCGGCCACACCAAGGACACCTGGAAAGCCAACGGGCGGCGTTTCCCGGCCAGCTTTCTCATTGCCACCACCGCCGCCGCCTCGTCTCTGTGGCATCTGCTTCGATGTGTTGAAGTCGATCATCAGCTGCGAAGTCGCTGCCCGTCCACCACCCCCGCCGCTCTGATTGGCAGCCGCTGCTGCAGCTGCCTGTGCGGCGTGTACGGCCGCTTGTTGTTGTGCAACTTGCGCTTGTTGAGCCATAGCGGCAGCTGCTGCTGCACTTGTTGGCAGGCCTGCATAGTTTGCGTACACTGCTCGATAGTACTGCTCACCCGTAACCCCTTGTGCCGCTGCCGCAGCAGCAGCAGCAGCGGAGGTCACCTGCTGTTGTTGTTGTTGCTGCTGCTGTTGTTGTTGTTGCTGCTGCTGCTGTTGTACCTGCTGTTGCTGCTGTTGTTGTGCTGCCTGCTGTTGTTGCTGCTCATAGAGTTTCTTGCCATAGTCCATTGGTGTGCCAAGCGTGATAGATCCGTCCTTTCTCTCGAACGGCTGGCTGTGCCTACCGCCCACGGTGACGCCGAACGCCGGGTGCTGCTGCGCGCCGACAGCGGCCACGGCGGCTGGATGGGCGACACCGAGCGGCGTCCCCTGCGTGATCGACCCGCCGGCCTGTTGAGGTGGCGGTATCACAAATTGCTGCTGCTGCTGCTGTTGTTGTTGTTGTTGCTGTTTCGAGATCAACGGGGGCGGCCCGGATGCAGTGGTTGAACCCTGCTGCTTGGCCCCACTAAGAACAGTTGGGGCCATGGTAGCAGAGGCACCTGCCGCCGCAGTCGTGTTCGTGCGCTGCCGCGCTGAAGGTGGCGGTGTGGGGGCGGCACGGTAGCTGTTCGAGTGAGCCGGTGGTGGAGTTGAATAGCTGAGCTGCTCGACAACGGAGCGTGTCGGCGTAGACACTTTACGGTATTCGGTGGACGAGATTTGTGGACTGCTGGTTGACCGCGCCGGCTTCTTCGACAGATCTAATGTTTGCACCTCATAATCGGCCGCGCTTGTCTGCGGCGTATGGGCGGGCTTTGGTCGATGCACAGAAAGTGCGACAGGACCTTGTGATGATGATGATGATGATGATGGTGCTGGTCCACTGTTGCTGCCACCGCCCGTTCCTGGCGGCGGCTGTTGAAGCTGCATTTCGATTGTCTGAAAGATGAGGTCACGCACCGTCGGTCCAGTGCTGCCAGAGTCGTTTGCGCCAGCGCTGGTTAAATTACTGCCGCTGCTAGTGCGTAACGAGGTCGCCGCATGTGCCGAAGATGACACGAGCGAGTGTGGATGTGTCGGCGACGGCAACGGTAAAGACGCTGGCCGACCATCTCGTTCGGCTGCCGCCGCCGCCGCCGCTGCCACTGCGTGCGGTGAGGGCACGCCGTGATGATGCTGCTGCTGCTGCTGTTGTTGTTGTTGCTGTTGCTGTTGCGAGTGTGGGTGATGTCCAACGACGTGAGATGGATGATGACCGCCTGGCGGCAGTGGTGTTCGCGTGTGTGTCGCGACAGGCGCAACAGGTGGTGCAGATGCCGACGGAGGGTTCTGGCCCAGCGCCAGACCGGCAGCAATGCTGCTACTGGCATTACTGCTACTCGTACTCGTTGTTACTGCGGCGTTTGCGTTGGCCTTATTCAACGACTCCCCCTCATCCGCACTAACAGTTGCACTGCTGTCATAGCCATCTACCGTAGCACAGTTCGACTCCGATACGCTGTGTGTTCTGTGTTGATGCTGCTGTGCCTGATGTGCTGCTACTCCTGACCCTATTGAACCTCCTGATCCTACTCCCCCTATTGCTGTTGCTGCTGTTTGTAGCTGGTGGTGATGAGATCGCCTGCGCTCACGAGCGCCTTCCGTTGTTCCGCCGTCGACGACGCCAGCTTCCCAGTTGCCTACATTTAACATATCACGCAACAGGTAAACGCGAAAAACAAGCCGTACAATAAATATAGTTTATTAAATATAGTATATGTTATAATTCTAAAAAGCGATATTGCATAATGATCATCAGTACGCTCAACTAAAACATCTGATACATGGACGTTAAAACAAAAAGGAACCAGCTGAGGAAAAAGTGCCACAATAAGCTATTAACAATAGTGCTTCTATACTCCGCCGTCCTGTCGTCACGTCGATTTTTCTTTTGCATTCCCTACCATCGTTTTCCTGGATGTCTTTGGGACTGCACGCGCTCGCCGTATCGCTGGTAGTTGAAGTGCTGTGCCTTCTTTCCGGTGGCTCCTGTTTGATAGCACTGCCATTATTGATCTCGTTTGTTGAAGTGCAATGCTTCGTCGCGGACGTCAACGTAGAAGCTTCCACCTCGTCTTCCGCTTCTGACATGGGTTCATCGCGTCCTTCCGCTTTTCGGAACTCATTAACCTGTTTTTTGAACAATAAAGATTGAAGGGATGATAAATGTAACACACGACTTGTTAACTTTTGCATCGCATAAAGACTTCAAATCAAAGACGCAAATTTATAGTATAGTTATCTTTAAGCTAGTAGCTCTAAAGATATAATTGCGTCTCACAGAAATTATTAGGTATGACCTCAAAGCCACCAAAGTTATGTCGTATCTGATATCTGAATCACGTATATCTGATACACGATGCGCGTGCATTGAGTATATGATAAAATAGTACTGATAAGGTACGCTCTCTTTCTATATAGAATGTCTAACTACAGGCATACATGGCGCATGAAAAAATGACAAGTTCGATTAAATTATTTTTTTTATACTGACCATGTGATGTAAGTTATGTTTCCGTTTATTGAGCGCATAGAAATTCTTGCACAGTAATCGAGATTTAGTTACAACGACAGAAGAGACCGCTGCCCAATCTGTGCCATAAATTCGAAGCGCTGTTCGGATGAGCTCGACTTCGGCGTTAGTCCATGCTTCAGCGTGTCCTCTGCCCTCGTGCGGTTCGTAACGCCGCGTAAGGTTGTTGAAGCATACCGAGCAGCATTTATGTACACCGTTTGGTATTAGTTGCTTGAGATCGGGTGACCCAGGGCCGCCCGTCTGCTGCCCTGCTAATTGCTGATCGCGCCGTTCTAACCATCTCGGTAGAAGTGTTCGCAATCTTCGTACACGCCTCTCGCAGCCCACAATTGGGCAGAGTCGCATCGCAACGTTTTCGTTTGTGTTAAAGCGACAGCGGGCGCAGACGCGCAATTCACCGCCAGCTGCTACCACCTGTTCGGCGGTCAGTCCGTATAGATCACAATTGGCTTTAGTTAATATACGACTTTCGCTGTCTTCGACGTACCCACTAGCGGCAACACTTCCGGATGCTCCAGTGTTGTCTGCCGATCCGGTGGTACTAATTGCAGTAGCTGCATCGGCTCCAGCTGTTGTTGCCGTCGCCCCAGGCGTCGGCGCTCCAATCGCAACACTAGCATTGCTTCCTTCCTCTGAAGCCCCCGTCACTCCGCCCGGACCAACAATTAATGAACATTTACACAAGGCGCACTCCGTCGGTGACATAACCCCATTGCTAGTTGTACAGGCGCTGCTGCTATCCGAGGAAGCTGCTTGCCGCCGTTGGGGCAAAACAGACACACCACCGCCTGAATTTGCGCTCAAACTCGAGGCGGCGGCGCCTGCCAAAGCCCCCGCCTGCTGGGGCTGTTGCTGGTTTTGTTGTTGGCTGCGATTGCTGGCGACATTGTTGTTGCGCGTTCGTTTCCGCGCGTTGTGTTTCCGTACGAGACGCTTGTAGTTTTCGCTCTTTTTCGACATGTAATAGTACTGGACGCAGTCGGCAGTAGTTTTCCTTTCGATAAACGCCGATATCGAGCCGAAGTTCTTAGGGAATTGGACGTACTTTTCGCGGAAGATTGCCTTCTCCGCTTCCGTCCAGTGAGTAAGAGATTGGCGTTCCTTATATTCGGACGCCAGGTCGTCTACTCGAGAATTCTCTGAAAGGAAACGTATTGAACGCTCCCAACGATCGAGCAGTCGGGGTGGGACGACGGCGTACGAACGCATTCGTTTCTCCTCGTCCTCTTGTTGTTGGATCCCATCCATGATCTCCTCCATCTCAGCATCACTGCGGACCCTTTGACCGGCGCGCGAGAAGCGCTCCTTCTCCTCGCGTTGCTTCTTCAACTCAGGGAACTGCTTCTCGAAGAATTCGCGCAACTTCTGGTCCTTAACGCGGCGAGCTGCCGCGGCTGCTTTGTTGCCAATGTGCCGTTCTTGCTTCTTAATCCATAGTCCCATCTGGTGCGTGTAGTTTTTACTCAGGTACTCGTCTCGCTTGGACGTCTCCTGGTGACGCCGTTTGAGGAACGCACTTAATCGACTCTTGAAGGTAGCGAACTTCTTTTTGTTTTCGTGGTATACGGCCGTGTCCGTCGGTTGATTGTACAAAGGAAGCGATATTTTGGGGCCGAAGCCGTTGAGCAAAGCATGTGCGGCCTGAGCCTTCGAGCGGTTGTCCGCGTAGACGACCTGCGCCGGAGTCATTTGTCGTTCGGTGCCCGTAGCACACTCGTCACCTTCCGCACCTTTTCTCGTCTCATGTGCTTCAAGATCAGCTTGCTTCTTCCGCATCTTATTCGTCGTACTCTCTAGCTGGCTAATCTCTCTATCCAACTTGTTTATCTGAGCTACCAATTCATCCTTTGAGCTACGCTCTTCTGGTAACGTTGGCGAGATAGCCTCAACTTGAGGAATATATGCAGGTTCTTTTTTAACGCTAATTCCGCCGGCTGTTCCGCCCCCTCCAACCGATGTATCAATGACAAGTGGCTGTGAGAGACGGGGCCGTTTGTGTGGATCCACTCCTGCGACGCCTGGCGGCAGCCCCGCCATACTGACGCCACCCTGGCCATCAACCAAAGCGGTATTCGCATACAGTGCGCGCGCCGACACAGGGCCATATCCTCCCGCCGCTGCTGCGGCCGCCGCAGCCACCTCGAGACTGCTGCGATGGGCAGAACCGCCTCCGTTGTGTTCCGACCAGTCGTGCATGCCTCCTGGCGGCAGCAACGAGGGTCGCCGGCGGACAACCGGTGCATCATCGCGACCTGCATGATGCACCGCCGCGGCGGCAGCGGCAGCGGCGGCAGCAGCCTGTTGGACGTGAGCCACCTGGGCGGCTTGTGCCGCATGCTGTTGGGCAGCATGCTGGGCGGCCAATTGTTGATACCGCGCTAACTGCAGCTGGAAATCAGGTGACTGATGAAAGGCTGCCACAGCGACGTCCGAGTCGCGAAATGATGGTAAGTAGAGCGGATAAGGAGAGGGCCGCGCTGGGTCACCTCCAGCACCCAGTACCGCTCCCACACTGGCTACTCCGCCTACCCCACCAACGCCCGTTATTGCCACACCTCCGCTGCCTGGGAATGGGTAGCCACGAGCTGCCCCAGGCGGGCTGCTCATGCCGCGATGGCCGTGTTTGAACGGCGACGACGCCGCCTCATGGCCCGGCCTGCAACATAGAATAACATCCGCAAAGCAAACACGTAGTTAGTTTGTGCATTTACTTTTTCCACTCGTCTAGTAAGTACTGATTATTTTTCTTATATATATATATATATATATACGTTTAAAAAAGATACGCTTATTAATCTGACCGTATATCTTAAGCACTGAAACGTGGCAGTCTGTATAGACTACAGTTTACTAATGCAAAGTTAATACAACAGCAGAAATGTCTACAGTAAGAGCAAACATAAAACGCATAGACCTTATTTTACCTAATCCCTGTGTATAATAGATTTAGTAGCTATAGCTGTCTGTCGCCTATTGAGATTTTTTTTATTTTACTTTACCTAAAGTCTACCAAAAACCGACTCGACCCACTTACGTCTACAACACTTGGGCTTGATCTCTTCAAGCTCGACTCGGACCAGGTGAAAAAGGCAATCGAGTGGAATAAAAACCTAACTATATCCGTTCGACAAGTTCGATTAAAGTTTACGTGCCGCTATATACAATTGGGCCAAACAAGTGACAGAGAATTGAGCCTTGCACCAACTGTATACACCTCGATCGTCTAAACACCAGTCATCCTTTCTGAGATAATAACCACTAAATACATATGTTGTCGTTTTTCGGTCGTAAAAACAGTTAGCAGAAACGAGAAGTAATAGATTTTAGCTCTGTTCTGATATTTCTTTAAATCTCCCCGATCATCTCAAAAACTTACTCTTTTCAGATGGTTCCCAAACTTTGGGAAAAAGGAAAAACACAGGGGATAAGATCTAGCGATTTATGCGCAAGGCAATAGACGCATTGATTTTTTTTTTGCAAAAAAATAGTAAATATTCGCAATTCGTAAATAATGCCGCATATTATCGTGGCGAAAAACCCACTATCTATTCTCCGGGGTCTCAGGGCTATTTTGGAGGAAAGCATTGTGCAACACTTTTCATAGTTCTTGCTAGTGCTTCTTACCAATAACACCAAATTTTATAATGCGCAACTCGCCGGCAATCGAGAGTAGTAGTTTTTCGAGAGACCTGGGTTTTGCCATTTTCGGTCTAGGCTGGCCTTTGAAGCAATGTCCAGACGATGATGCCCGTGTTCTAATGTTCAACACATATGCCCACTTGTTACCCGTGATTACACAATGAAGTAAGTTCGACTCCTCTAAAAGTACGTTAAAATTTTCCTGAGGCAGGTGAAAATTCAAATCCTTCGATGCAATCTCTGCTGTGAGCCCTCTCGTCTCCAATGATTTTTCAAAGTGGTTCGACATGACTTGTCTGGGGCCCCTAGCATTTCTACGATCTCCCTGAAGGTCATTCGACGATTCTCCAACATGCGTTATTTTGCCCTCGCCGTATTCGCTAGAACAGACCAAACCCAGATTGTTTTCGCTGCAGAACCGGTCCGACGGCCACACACATGGGGCCAACTTATAGCCTCATTGCAAAAGAGCCTTGTGCAGTCTTGGTGTCACTTGTGAGCACTTATACATATAGCACATACAGAATATAGAGTACGCTCTTTGGCGTAAAAAACAAAGCGCAGCTGAAAGTAACTGACTTTAGAGCGTATGTGAGATACAAAGAACACGTTAGAAGACACCGAAGTTAGGGGCCTATTAGAAAGTCGACCAGAGCTAGGTAGTCGATAAAAAACCGGGCATTATTTAGTTGCTTTTTTACCTAGTATTATAAAAGCTGAAAACAAAAAAGCCTTCCATATTAAATACACAAGACCCAATTGAATATTTAATGGCTTGAAAATATCCTAATTTGTAGCATCGTAGCAATAAGTTCAGCATAATTACATGGTATAATAAGCAGAGCTGACGCTTATGAACGCCAAAAAGACATCCACCGGAGAAAAAGGAAAAAGCTGGGTTACGTTGTCGTTAGTGGGACGATATTTAGTTATTCGAATCAGGGTCAATTTCCCACTGCGAAGTATATTCATTTATTTCTCTCAATTTGGTATTTATTAACAAATTTCATACTAGTACCTCATCATCATTATTAATGGGACTTAGACAGCGAAGTAGGCAGTCAGCTGAATCTATCGCCGAGAATTGTCCGCAATCAACGCTTTTCAGGCGGAGTTGCTGTGTTCAGACAAGAGTTCAAGGTAAAACAGTAGTAGCCTTTATATATATATATATATATATATATATATGTATCTTTAATTACATCCTCCACTGTATTTTAAGCCTGCTATCAGCAAAGCTGCTTTTTGTAGCCTCATTGTTACCTTAGTGTGGGTGTATCTTTTCCGGAAAATTGTTCTTCGAGGCTCTGCAAAATGGGCACAAGGTTATATTTTAGAGAACGCCAGATGTCGGCAAATCAGTATGGTATACCTCAGTTAATTTTTTACGTACGCGAATGTTTGTCGCATATGGATCAGAACCGGCTTCAACTGAAACCAGGCAGCAGGACAGTTGGAACATTGCAATGAGAGAACTCGATACGTAGAGCACAATAATAGCAACGAGTAAATTTTATTTAGGATAAAAAAAATTTAGGCAAAAAAATAGGATTACTGTAACATAATAATTTCAGCAATTGATGCAAAATCTCGGACAAACTGCAACTATAAAGCTATAAAAACGTGGTAGCAAAACAAACCATTGGTCTGTAACTGAACGATGATCTGTTGAGCTGTATATAGCGGGAATAGAAATTTATTCAGGCTAGAATAGGTTGGTATAACGGCCGTAAACTAGTTCGGGCTGAATAAATTCAACTTGACGACAGTCGTGTATTATTATCGCCTATGTGTCATGTGTATGATAAGCTTACGACACATACTCGGTACGTGACTGCTCGGTATATGGAATCGTCTATATGTAACAGCTGTCGAGAAAACATGTCTGAGGTCAAACCGTTTTGTTTCACTTCTAGGCTATTTTCACGCGCTGACCGATTCTCTGCCGCCATAGCAGAGGAATCGCACATGTACGAGCTCGCTGTAAGTTACAATTTCAACGACGTTTAGTTACGTTGATTGTACGTTCCAGTTTCGGGGTTGGCTCAATAAATACCATCTCTTTCTTCTACCCGGTCGCCCCCAGTGCACGCTCGTGCCTAATTCATTCTTTAGGGTCCGTTCTCGTCACCGGGAGTTGAATGTTACTGCGGTCTTCGCAGATTTCAATAGAATGATCTGTTGACATCTATTATGTTGTTCTCGCCGCGCACGTGTGACCTTGATTATTTTCTAGGACGCATGCGTCGAACATTTTCGTGTAACACTAGAATAGATCCTAAGCAATATCGTGCAACGGTAAACTACAACTTCGATAATTGCTCTTCTTTCTCTGTCCAGCTTCATTATTCTTAAAAAAATTAAAGCAAAGGAGCGAAAAGAAAATACAGTGACCGACTAGGCCTGACCCTCGACAGACGTCAAGGCATTATCTGTTTTCATCGAATTTTGAAAAAACAAAGACTCATCATATTTCAAGAATCAAGAGCACCTTTATTCACGACTCGCACCTAAACAAAGACTTCGGAAAAACATCGAAATGTTTAATGAGGCGATTCGTACATCGAATGGAGTGTTCCAAACAAATGCCCGCTTGCACCTTCTCGTCCCGCCGTGTGTTTCGAACGGCCGCGTTGACAACAAGCTATTTTAACTTAATAAAAGTCCAAAACTCGCACAGAGTATCTGATCCATTGCCATTATTCTAACATACAGTTAGCTACGTCCGACATGATATATCATGTCCTCTCAAAGCGAAAGTTTTCATTAGCAGAAAGCGACTCATGTAATAAATAGCGGGAGACAAACACCGACTGTTTAAAACTATCCTCCATTTAGCAAAGACCGTATGTTTTCCTAATACATGTATGTTATGAATTCAGCAGGAAATACGGTGGTTCGTCTCTTCGCGATACTTATATTGTATCAATAGATCAATTTTAGCACGTCCTTCGTACGTCCTTTGCACTACTAGACTATTACTACGAAAAAAAACTATAATATACATCTGCGTGACTAACTGGAAGACATTGTTGCTTCTTAGTCGGCTGTACACGCACTTGCTTCTGCGGAACAGTCTCAAACTTAGCCAACTTAAGTACAATGATCAAGTTGCTTTCATTATATATTCACACCATTCCGTACCCCGCAAAGCCTATCTTACCTTACGAACGCGTTATTTTTTGTCCCTATCCTTTTTTTCAGTACAGTCCTCAAATACCATCTACTGATATGCCCTTGGAAGTGGTAATAATATATTCTGAAATAATTGAAATCACCATTATTTGCCAAAATAGATTTTCTACAAAATAGCTGTACGTCATCCGACTACGTCGGAGGAGTTTTGAGGCTAGACATGCACACGCGCTATAGGTAATACTCTACCCCAGTCAAATCCGAACCGGGCTTGTAAAGGGATTACTGCTATTGAATTAAAGTTATCCTCGCAAATATTCAATCAAATAGATAATTTAAATAATCCCATCGAATCTGAGCGTTCGTAATTTCGGGTCGTGCAAATGAATTAGAATGGTCAAGCACGTGCAATAAAAATAGTCCTTGAGTTTATTCATCTACCCGTTAGTTCGTTGCTGGCAAAAGAGGGGGCTTAACTAAATGGAATACGTCTCACAGTTGCTTGTACTAAGCAACCTCACCTTTTGCTATAATCAGTCGATTGCAAACGTCCCGTGCTAATTGCCCGTCCTTTGCCAGATATCTCATGTTTACCCATTATGGGCACAAAGCAGTTTTTATCATCACAATATAATCATACACGGAAATTAAAAGTGGCACAAAAGTTCACCAAGTTCTCAGTAAAATATAATTTCGATGAACACATCTTGGCAAAGTGGCGGCTTAACCCAGGCGACTATAGCGCTGCCCTTGTGCACGGCAATCAAACACAATGCCAGTTAAACCATTGCCGTCCAGTAAGCAGTCGCTTTTTTCAACGAAAAACTTCTCACACCAACACGTCGCTGTCCTCTGACATCTCTGCCAGCCGAATGCGTTTGG